GTAACTGACTCGGTACCCTGCTTGAGGGTCAGAAACTCCTGTGCCAGACGCTCCCTCTCCACCTGAGGAACGTACTCATCTCGAAACATGGTAGTGAACCTCTCCCAGGTCACTGCCGAAAGCTCAGTAGGTGTGAAGTGCGCCGTCACAAACTTCCACCAGTCCTTCGCTCCCAAGCGAAGCTGGTTCAGCGCGAACCGAACCTTCAAATGCTCAGGGGACGAGCAAGTGAAGAAGCATCCCTCCATATCAGATATCCACCTCATAGCTGCCACCGGATCCTGCGTACCATCAAACTCTGGTGGTTTGGTGTTGCTGAACTCCCTAAACAATGACGCATCACCTCCCTGGGGTCTTGCCGCAGCGATCGCTGCGGTAGCCGCTGCAACAGCAGCCTCAGAAAGAGCGGCATAGCGCTCGTCAAATGTCTCAATCAACGCGGTCTTAATAGACCCGAACATCTCTGGTATCTCAGCTCTGATGACCGCAGCCACCTCCTCATGAATGATCTGTCGAATCTCCTCATCACTAGCTCCGGCATCCTCCGGCATGTGACGTGTCCTCACCATGATCAACCTCTGAAATACAACATGCGATAATTAGAATTCACTCGAACACCCTTACATTCGACAATCCACCCCTCCTTGATTCTTGGTATCCCAAGATTCTTATTTGGACTGTGTACCGCACCGGTGCTTTCAGTAGTACGGGCCCAATACTACTGTCCGCACCGTCACAGTACACACCCCAAATCTTCCTCTTCGGATCCCAATCCCCAAGTACTCTATTATACTTAAATCACTTTGTAACAGATCTCACACAAAGCCCTAGCTGCTACCTAATTACTCTCAGCATCTCATAGCAGCTCACCCCTCCCTAGGCTAAGGCATCACAAAACAGGCCACTCTAGTCCTATTAGCAATACCTAGCCTACTCTAGCATACAAACACATCATATTAATAATAATTATCACGTAATATAAAGGTATTTTGGGAATTCACCGTTCGGGCGCTGACTGATCGTACACACGTTTCTTCCTGGAAAATCTTTTACTCTTAGAAGATTTTGGTTTTATTTTGAAAATATCTCTTCAGTTCCTCAGTTTGAGTTCAAATACCCCCGAAGGTGTACCCGAATCCCTCAAACCAAGGCTCTGATACCAATTTGTAACACCGTAAATTTCAAAACAAAATTTTCAATTTTTATAAAACATAATTCCATCAATATTCATAAAAACAACCATTTTAATTATCCAAACAAGACAATACAAAATCCCAAGATCATAATATCAAGCTCCGAACGTGTGTGTGTACGGATCAAGCCGGCGCCTTCCCGCGGTCGTCACTAGTACCTGAAACAATAACATCAAACACTGTAAGCACAAGGCTTAGTGAGTTCCCCAAAATACCACATATAACACATATTAGCCACTCTAGGCTATAACTCTGTGGGTCCGTGCACCCAAACTCTGTGAACCCTCAGGTTCTAGCTCTGATAGACATGCACCACATAAATCACATAGAAATAATGCAGTACAACACATAACATACATAGCATACAAATACTCTATCACATAACTCTGGTTACCTACTCAAGGTAAAGTATAGTGAGAAGACTCACCTCGTGTGTCTCGGTAAATCGTAAACCTGAAATCGCTAATCACTCGATCTGCCGAGCTGTAGTCCCCCTATAGCACAATACATCCCTAATTAACACTTTCCCAACTAGGGTTGACCACACTATAACAAGTCAATTTAGGTCAACGCTGGTCAACGGTCAACGGTCAACTTTGACCGGACTCGGCGAGTGCGCTATAGCGACTCGGCGAGTCTGAGCGTATACACCAATTTCCCTGGAATCCTCCCTTGACACGTCGAGCATTCACTCAACTCGACGAGTTCCACCTGGCATGAGTTGTGGGGCCACCACGACTCAACTCGCCGAGTCTCAAAACAACTCGGCGAGTCCAGTTTGACTCAGTCCACCGGTCCATTCTGACTCCCCCTTGACTCACTGAGTCCACCCTCCCCAACTCGGCAAGACCACTCACTGTGTGGTCGGGCAACATTCATGCTACTCGCCGAGTCTGTTCTTCAGACTCGGCGAGTCCGTGCCATGCAATGACTCAATCTTGCTCATAAGGTCAGATCCAGTCCATTAATCCATAGATCCAGTCCCTCCAAGCTCATTTAGCACGTAAAGTTACAATCTTGATGCACATACAACCTCTATATGACCATATATGATGTTTTTGACTCAAATACCACAACACAAGGTCCTAGACTCCATTGTTATACATAAAGCTTGATGAGTGAGGCTCTCTGGACCTCTATGGATCCAGATCCATAACCTCAACACAAGGAGGGAACCATTGGGCATCAAATCATCCCATAAATGACCATAATAAGCCCTAAATCGCATAATGCTTCACCAAACAGAATATGGACCGAAATCATACCTCTAGATTGATGATCTAAGCTCCAAATCCACGAAATAGCAGCCTCCTTTGCTTCCTCTTGCCTAGAATCTCCTTCTTCTTTGCTAAATGGCACACACAAGGTCAAGAAATGCTCCTCTCTCTCCACAATCACTCAAGAACACAAGGGTCTCTCTCTAAGGGTTGGGTGAGCACAGATGACGGCCATAAGGCCCTTTAAATAGGCCTCAAGCCCGGGATTTTAGGGTTTCTCTACACAGCGCAGACTCGCCGAGTCCATATCCTGGACTCACCGAGTCCAGGCGCGATCCATTGTCCAATTCCGCGTCCCTACTCGGCGAGTCTGAGCTCCAACTCGCCGAGTCCCCCTCACAATTCAACAAAATTAAATTTACAAAATACCTGGTAAAATCCGGATGTTACATCAAGGTCACCAGAAGAAGTGCTCCTATAAAGACTTCATGAATGCAAAGCCCACATCTTTTGACAACAATGGAGGTGTTTTTGCCTTGACTCGATGGTTCGAGAAGATCGAGTCTATCCTCTAAATCTGTTCTTGTTCCGAAGCCAGTAAGGTGAAATTCGCCTCATGCACTTTCACCAACAGAGGGTTGACCTGGTGGAATAGTTGGGTCAAATCTCTAAACCTGCCAGTAGCAAATGTTATGGGTTGGGAGAGCTTGAAGGTGCTCATGCTCGCTGAGTACTTCCCATGGGGCGAGATACAGAAACTGGAGCACAAGCTATGGAACTTGAAAATGAAGGTTTTCGACATTGCTGCCGACACTTCTAGGTTTCAAGACCTAGCACTTCTTTTCTCGGGAATGGTCACCCCGGAAAGCAAGAAGATAGAGAGATACTGAAGAGGCCTTTAGATCAATCAATATATCAAACAATGATAGTGAATAAAAACAAGAGGAATTCATGAAGAAAAACTTTCACTAAGAAAGATAATCTCACAAAGAGATTATCATGTGCACAAAGCAACGATTAGGGTTTATGAAAGGCATGGCCATTCACAAACCTATACAAATGATTATATACTGCTATTCTAGACAATCCCTACAAATCAGGGATATGCCAGCTAACTAATTAGGCTAACTATGGAAACAAGATAAATACACGATCTGTTACATTGCACTGAATAAATTAAACTATTACAAACTGAGCTACTGAAACGCTGATGCTGATACTGAGACACGCGCTGATGCTGAGGTCTATTTTAAACATTATCATATTTCAAGGTTTGACCTTACAATCTCCCCCAATATGATGATGTTCAAAACAGACTAAATTAAAACACCTCTGGACAGGAACTCTTCATACTCAGCTTCAGCTTCTATTTTTACTAGCCAATAAGGACTATCCAGCAACTCCTGTCTTGTATTCAGCAGCTCCATGGCAATAAGAATGTGAAACTCTCTGGATAGATCTTGATGACTCATGCACATTTGCCTTAAGCCAACGAGATGAGTGGTTGGAGCCTTTGGGATCTCAGCAGTTCGCTGAAAAAACATCCTCTTGTTTTTATCAAGATAGAACATCCCGTGTTCAGGAGCTGAGATAAACTTATGCTGAACCGGATCAACACTGATAGGAAGAGAATTGTTTATTCCACCAGCACCAAAGTCCAGAACGAATACATCTTCACCATCAACTTGAAACTTGGTTCTTCGAGTACTAGGAACAGATAACCTTTGGCCTTGATGCTGAGGTCGTTCTTTAGGAACGAGATCCAAACGCTGAACTTTCTTGATCAGCAGATGAAGAGCACGGGTCAGTTCCGAAGAGTAAGCTGAGGTTTGCTTGGATGCTAGTTCGAGTAGTTCCATCCATTCAGAATATCCATACTTGATCAGCTCATCCCTCTTGACAACTTCAGTGTATGAGTGTTGAGGACCTTGACGAGTGATCAGCACGTAAGGATTTTTTTGTTTCGTTGTTTGGAGGCTTTAACTTTGATGATCTTATCAACACACACTCGTCGTTTAAGAACGTCTTCAAACATTTTTTGATCAATCCGGTCAAGAACAATGTTAGTCTTAGGCTTACTATGGCTAGGAGGAGGTTGAGGAGACTGAACTTTGGACTGAAATTCCAGGAATTTCTGCATCTGAGCTTCAAAAGATCCCTTGGCCTGAAGTTTGTGCTTATGCTTTCGAGATAGCGGATGAGAGTCTTCACTGGCAACGTCCGAGTCTTCTCCTTGGACCGGAATGATGGGATCAGCAACAGGATTGACTGATCTCATGACTGGACGTTGAGATTCATTATCAAGATCATCGGAACTTTCTTCTTGAACTGGAATAAGAGGATTAATGAAATTCATATCCAGTATTTGACATTCATCGTCTGGTTCATCATCATGCTCACTATCTTCAACTAGCTATTCAGTAGCTGCTGGACTATTATGCCCCACAGAGTCAGACTCGGGCATTGGCTTGGGTGATTCAGGCTGAATAATGGTGTTGTCAACAGGTTCTGTGTCTCTCTCATTCGGTTCACCATCAGCATTATCATCAGCATCAACATCATCATCGGTATCTCCCCCTTTTGAGCATCATCAGATTCGGGGACTAGAGGGAGGAGTATGCAGTAGAACCTCTTTTAGCTGTTGAACATCAGCCTCAATGCGAAGAAGATGCTGACTCATGTCCCGAGTCAGTGTCATGAGTTCAGAAAATGCTGAAGCCGGAATTTGAACAACTGAAATAGCTGGAGCGACTGGTGAGCTGGGTGGCATCCCCGGAGAATATTGGTGAGCAGCTGGTGATGGTTGCTCCCCCTGAAATTGTAGATTCTCCCCCTGCGAGGGATGCTCCCCCTGATATGGTTGCTCCCCCTGATTCATTGAATCCTTTGGTGCTGAGGGAACTTTGTTAGTATCCGAGATGATATGATGAGAAAGTTGAGGAGAGAAATGACCATCATAATGTTGTTCATCCTCTTGATCAGCATGATCTACATGGTTACCATCAGCGCCTCCTTCATCAGTGTCAGCGGTGAGAGAGGGAACAGTGTATGGATTTGCAATCCATTCTCTCATTCTATCCGAGATTCCAATGTCAGAATCCAGGGGATCATCTTGATACATGCGAACAGACATGCGAGGGAATTGGATGGGATTTCCAGAATGCGAGAAGTAGGCTGCAGCGAAAAATTTGTCGAGCACAAGTGCAATCCAGCGTGGAAAAGGAACATGATCAGCGCGTACATTTGCACGAAGAAGCTGAACAAGCTGATCAAAGAATAGGGCCCCATAATCAAGTCTTTTGTTGAGAAGAAGTGAGCAGACGACTTGTTGCTCATAATTACTCAACTGATCACCACTTCGAGACTTGTGACCCACACACTTGCACAGAGCACCAGTGAAAAATTTCCAACCTGGGCTCATACATTGGTGCAAAATAAGAGCCGATCGAGCACCAGCCTTTGAGTGATCATATCCCAGTTGATCAAACATACGCCTACATCGTTCAATAGAAGGAGGTTCAGAGATAGGTTCAAAGATAGGTAACCTTAGGGCAGCACTGAGAAGTTCTGTGGTGATGAAGACAGAGTGTCTTCCATGGCCAATGGTCCCGGTGATGGCATTGTTGTCGTCATTGACAGTTGCAGTGTAGTAGAACTCACATACTTGTTCAGGGAAGAACTCGGATGGAACATCACTGATTGCATATCGTAGGTGGTAGGAAGCTAACAAATTGACAAAATCATCGAGTCCAAGACCTCGATGAACCTCTGGAATATTAGGGTTGAAAACAACGTTTGTAGACTTGATGTGAATTGGAAGAGGGGGAGAGTTTGGGGCAGGAACTACCCTTCGTGAAGTGGAGGAGTAAGTGAACAGAGATGTCACCATCAGAGAGTTTTTAGAGTTCTAGGGTTTTGAGGGAAGTTTAAAATTGTGGAAGGAAAGTCTAAATCAGGGGTGAAAGAGGTTTAAATATAGAACGAAAAGGGGCTTTAAAAAGGTAATGATTATCTTCATTAAAAATAATGGCGTATCGTAACAACCTGTCAGACAGAAAATAGCCATTGACTGAATGTGAAACGTCAATCAGTGTTTGCGGAAGTGCTAAGATTAGTGTCACAAAAGTTACATGCTAAAAATATTTCTCCATCAATTCAAGGTACAACTTGCTTGATTGGGGCTAGCAAGGAGATTGGTGCGTGTGATAGATACTAGTTTCATTATCTAACCATCAGCATAGAGTGTTGTGACTTTATTAGTGAGTGGTTTATCTTACTGAATCATTAGACACTGAATGAGAAGAAGGTAAAGAATGGATTGTTGCGTGTGATAAACCTTGGTGTTTTGGTCTAACCATCGGCAAAGCTTTTTAGACTCTCATCAGTGTGTGGTTTGTCACACTGAATCATGAAATCAGTGTCAGATTGGTAAGAAGGGATAGTTGCGTGTGATAGATCTT